CAGCCACTCTTTGAAATTCCAATTTCCAAATAATTAACGCTGGGCTCTGGTAGGTAAATGTGTTGCCGGAAGCTATGGGCCTTGCAAATTTCAACCATTGGAAAAGTATGATACACCTTGTTTATCAGCAAGGGTGTATCGGTGCTTTCACTCACGTGTTTTTTATTTTTATTTTAATTTTTTAACTTTTTTCAAATTTTTATAAATGTTTTAAATTATTTAATAAATAAAATAAATGGATTTACCAAAACACTTTTTAATAGGTGTATTGAAACCCTAACGATATGATACAATACATTTAAATTTTAGTGTAAGCTAATTGATTAATCCAAACCTAGTCCCCGCTGAAGTGCATCATATTTTAGTACAGGCTACGCTTAATCCAAACCTAAGGCTGTGTTGTTGCAATGCAAATGAATTTACACTGATCCAAAATTATTGCAGTGCAAATGGTTTGAGTGTAAATCATGGTCCTGTACTTATTTTAAATTTAATCTTTTTTTTGTTTGATTGCGATACAAATAAAAAGAAAAATAAAGTAAAACCCAGAACAAAATTAAAGGAAAATTAGTATATTTTTTTTCATTTGTACTCCCACGCATTTATGCTAATACAAATAAAATTGCACTGCAACCAAACACAGCCTAAATCTCTAACCTGAAAAGATGCAAAATTAAAACCTAAATATATCTCTGGCAGGTTTGATTCATTAACTATGATTTTGGTACAATATATAGAGAAGAAGAGGGACAACACAGAAAAGATGAACACAAGGATTTTGTTGACCAATGAGTGCATCAACCATTAATCCACCCAAAACAAATCAGAAACGAAAACAAGAAAACCTAATTAACAAAGTACATTGACCAGTAACCATTTTTTCCCCTGCCAACAAAGTCCATTACGCTGCCGCGCCACCCACGATGAACCGACTACTTGCACTTGGGGAGTGGCTGACCACACAGACAGCGGTTATGGAAGAAAGAGTCTGCACCAAACTCCTGCACCTTCCCGCCAAATGGTATCTCTCCGCACAGTCGATTATAGCTTACGTTTAGCCAATACAAATTCAATCCTGTGATCTCTTTGGGAATACTCCCTCTGATCCGGTTATGCGATAAGTCCATATATTGTAGGCTCTCGGGAAGCTTCACCCTGGAGAGATCAAAGTCGAACTCATTCCATGACAAGTCCAGAYRMGACAACGTTCCGTTTGTTTTGAACAACGCCGATGCATCTCCTGTAAACTTGTTATTTCTAAGAT